CCGCCAAAAAAACATCAGAGGTAAAAAAAAACAAATCGGAACCCTGGTTGCCGAGTTGACGTGAATTGGCTTGTTTTACAACGTCGTTGCCAAGCGACGAAAACCCAACCCCGATGGCAAACACCGGGGGGGTGGGGGTAGGAAAAGGAGGGCAAGTGCTGGTTGCACTATTTGCATTGAATAATAATTCGGCCATGCGGGTTGCTTCATCAACAAAACGTCTGTGACAAAGAGAATCAAGCCGAAACCTTCACTCGGAATTATTAAGCATCATAGTAGCAACTTTCAGCATGGGGTGTACGGGCCTGGATCATGCACGTCTATGTAGAAACGTTATCGGGTAAGCATAACTACATTCTCAGAAATTAGGGAATATCGTACGTTCCTCCAAAGGACTGTTCAGTTGCATATCGACAGCACTTCTAGGGTCGGAGCTTTCTTCCAGCTGTTCTTTGGCCGACCCGGCGCCACGCTCCCGCAGAGATTCGTCATAGTTGATGCGGATATTTCCCAATTTCACGAAAATTCTCCACCCCTGTGTGGTTGCCCCAAGGGCCAGCAATTACTTGACAACAGAGCGTTGTGAACTAACCATCCCATGGTCGACACAATCGAGTAGTCATTATCGGTCCGAGAAAAATAGGTGTAATCGTGCGACCCAGCACGGATCTTGTCGTCTCTTCCCCACACATTTCTTGCTCGATCCCATGGGAGGGTGCAAACGCCCACCATATTCAAAGACAGATATCGTTGGGGTCTTGCTATCTATTCCACGTTTTTTTCTTTTTCCGGCATGTACCTACACCCGGCCGCCGAGACAACTTGGCCACGAAAATCGCAGTCTGGCCGGGGGGGGAGGGGGTGCGACAAACAACCGTGTGTACCCCGTATGCGTCGGCAATTTGTCACCCTGAGGAACCCGCCCCCCCTCATCGGAAAAATGTCGAGGTATTGAAAATCATATGGGCGGTCCGGGGTTGTGTGTCTTTTCGTTTGACGCATTCGATTTTTTGACAATGCACCAAGTCATGTGCTAACTTGGGTACATTTATCGGTGCCTTCATGGGTCCTTTCTTGTGTTCTGGCACTACGACAGAAAATATTGTACGGCATAGACTTGGTGCTTTCAATGCTGTCCTTGGCCGCGGGAACGAGCTGGTGGGCGCGCGAAGTTTGAAGGATACACACGCGGACACTTGTGTCGTTCCATGCGGGGCGCGTTTTTCCCCTGTTTCCGCTCTCCATACAATCCTCTCATACTTCCTGAAGTGTTAGCAAGATCCCGAGGAGAGAACACGAAATTTTGTTGAAGCGATTCCGGCTCTTTCGGCAGTACGAAACGTTGTGGCGAGAGTTTTTGTATATAGTCTGTGGATCAAGGCTGCCAAACCGCAACCATTTGCGTCCACAAAAAGTTGACACACAAAACCGCCTGTATATGAGTGGTCTTGGTGCATACATGCCAGGAAATTCAGCCACGATGGATGGCCCTTATCTCTCACGTATATATCCACATCCGAACAGCTAAGGTAGCCCCCGCGATGTACGTCGGGAACTGCATGGCGATCCGAAGGACGACGGACAACCGTAGTTTGTTTCCAAGCACCATGGCAAAATAGCATATGGAGAGCATGGCAAGGATGATCGCTGTAACGTGCAATTGCCTGCGGCATTTCTCCACTGGCGAGGTCAAAACCCCCGTTGTCTGCAGGTGGAACACCCGCTGCTGGTCGATCCAAGCACCACGAACAATCCGAGCAGCGTGCAGAAGATAGGCGGCCTTCAGATTTTCAGACATGAACTGCTGTACACAAGTGTGATTCGGAAGTAAATGTACTAGATGTGCATCATCGTTAACTAGAAAATATCACCGGCCTTCAAAGTTTGTGATGGGGTAGACAATATCGATCGGTAGATTCGTGTGTTGACTTTTCCCGCACACCACAGCGTCACACTCGCGGCACGGTGAAACCCACCTTGGGCATGAGACCAACTGCACGCTCATATCTGACCTCCCCGTGGATTTGTTCAGAATACCAGCACTCACATCTCAAAGCATTTCGGCAGGGAAGGAACTCCAATCCGTGGTCACACAGAAGGGGTCCTCTCCCTCAACCCCTAATGCGAGGCTTGCCTTCGATTTTACGCGAAATAGTACATCACTCTCTTTCCACAAGTGTACACACGAACTACTGTAGCACTTTCCACTAAACTGAAGCGAGAGGAAACTTCACTTTACATATAAATGCTTGCTTACGCCACCGGGATCCATATCCCTGACCCTGACCACAAGTCTACCAAACGGGCCGGCAGTTAACAGATAGTCTACAACATCGAGTTCAATAGTCTAATTTGATAAGGAACAGAGGCTCACATTTAAGAATTAAAGATTAGTGTTACGAAATAGAGATCAGCCCTGGATCCTACATTAAACTAAACTCTACATAGCAGCAACCTGTGCTTCACAGTGGCGACGAAAATAAGATAGCTGAGCCTCGACCCGATATTGACCTTTTTGGTCTCCGGGCCGGTTCGTAAGCTAGACGGAAGGGTTGCAATCCGGTATTGGTGCGTCAGTCAGTGCACCGTTCTTGCCAGAGAAATTCCCGGAGCTTTGCTCTGTCTGGTTTCACTCGAGGGCATCCTCCACGTACCTAGAGAGAGCTACTGCTGTAGTCTATCCTTACGGCCAAGCATGCGAGTCTGAAAGTCCTTGGGTCGGGTCCAAGGCCTGTATGAAAGCAGCCTTCAGCCCTCGTCTCCGACAACCCATATATAGTGGCCGTCTCACCGCGAAATCTGCACAGTCTCACGTGAGAGGTTCAGTTTTCATCTTGTTGTCTACATTCACTAACCTGTCGACGAAGATGACAAGCGGCATGACCGAGGGCCGCCGCGGAAATGACCAGGCCGGCTCATCCAAATATATGGTGAGCAAGCTCGGGAACACACGAGGCGCCTGCTAGGATGTGGAGACTTGACCAGCGCTCGTTATCACAAACGCAGATGCATCCCCCTTCGCCATCTTGCGCGGGAACCCCGGTGCCGCCCCAGAGGAACGTGCGGCAGTTCTGCTTGCACATCTGGCCTACAAGCAGGCTAGTACCAACTCTCTTTTGCAGCGTGGCCAGCAAAATGCACATCGTGTAAGACTAGACTACATGTATAGTCAACCGCCTGAGCGCGTTC